AGGTAATGTGGTTGCGCAACACAACCGACTCGGCGCAGCTCCTCACAGTGGGACCTGGCACTTATGCAGGCGATAGTCGAGTAAAAGTAAAATTCCAATATCCCAACAACTGGAGGCTCAGCATGAACCCGGTCAAGGCCACTGACGCAGGCCTTTATATGTGCCAAATATCTACTCATCCGCCAAGGACTATTTTCGCTAACTTAACTGTATTGCGTAAGTATCACTTTACTATGCTCAATATTTTATATTACATTAAGATAACATTTTCCAACACCAGATGTAAAAACTTTGCACTTAGGAATGACTGATGTACATTTCGATAATTTATTAATACAGATAAGAATAATTTGAAATTTTAACACACCGACTATTTTAATAAATATATCAATTTCAGCTCCATTAATAACAATAAATGGTGATCAAACACATGAAATGAAAGACAGATTTTACAAGGCCGGTAGTTCTATAAAACTTTCCTGCATCATATCAGATGAATATTTACCTTCAGTCCCGACGAAAGCAACAGTTACAACCCAAATGCCTACAACAACAAACAAACCATTAACAACAACAACAGAAATGACTACTCGTATGAGTACAGTATTCAACAGAATAGATGTTATGTTGAATAAGAGTTGGAGTGTAGAGACAACCACAGTAACTTCAACCGTTAGTATAAGTACGACTTCTAAGAAACCTGATACAACCACGAGCGTACAAACAACAGCAGTTCCAACAACACCACTTGTAGTCAATAATGTTTATGGACTAGCTTGGAAAAAACAAGGGAAGGATTTCTTCGATAATATCACTTGGAGGAATTTAAGGTAAGTAACGCTATTTAAAAATAAAGACAAAATATGCAAATTATCTATGGTAGTCATAAGGCTCCATCCAAACTCAGATTAGTATGAATATAAAATGAGAGTAGATAAAAAATGCTCAATAGTAGAAAAACCGCAATAGGTCAAACGCTCATATATCATTTTATTAAAAATTGTTAAGATAACAATATAGTTTTTAATTATAATTATAACCGGAGCTAAAAAGCTTATAGCTAATCTTATCGCGAGGCCTTTATCATGGCAAATAGGCAATTTTCCCGAAACTGAATCATAAAACAGGAAACGCTTATGGTCAATAGCGGTCATTTGTCAGCATCTGGTTTTGTATGAAATGGCTTTCATTTTGAGACTGACATACAAGGCGATATCGCAGACGAAATCGATTTTTCTTTGTGTTACTATATTGACAACGTACAATCAAGAGGTAAGCAAAATTGGGCACTATGTACTATCGAAAACTATGGGAAAAGGTTCATCAAAGGATTATTGTACATACTGCTGCCTTTATACAATAACGCAGTATTGCAGAATACTGCTATTTAGAATTAAGCATATAGCATTTGCCGCGAAAGCGAAACTTTATCGTTCTTACCTCAAAATTGTTTTTATATGTAAGGAGATGTGTGCTTTCTTCACTGTGCCCGAACGGGGTCCATATGAATACATATATATTTATTTAGTAAGACCTTTTATAACAAATGGTGGAAATGAATAAATGAATGAAATGAAGTTTCGCTTACTTTGCTCGTCGCTGATGTTTAGTTCACAATCGTAATATTCTGCCATACCTACCATGTTATTATATAATGGCAGAAATATAAACATTGAATGTATATTATAGTGTTATATGTCATAGCTATGTACATAGATACGCATAGCATACATAAAAGGATATCCACAAAAATAATGGATCGACCTGGAGACTCTTGTCTTATACGTTATTATAGCCATGCAAAAAGCGAACGCCTCCAGTATTTTGGGCACCCTACCGCGAGGACACGCTCAATTTAATTTATTTAATCTAGCTTTTGTCCTAATAGTAGTGTATGTTGGCATATGTATGTCCTCGCGGCAGGGTATCCAAAATGCTGGCGACGTTCGCTCTTTGTATATCCATGGTAATATATATACATATCGATTGTCCACAGAGCGTAGCAGCCTTTATTATTTTTATTTTTCTTTATCAATATTTAGTAATAATTTTTTAATTTTTTGTTATTTTGTTTTTTTCGTAGTTCTACACATTTGCACATACAAAATTTTACAGTTAAATATTTATCCATAGACTTAACATCGGATTGAAAATTGGGCTTCATCATGATCTGTAGAACTGAATTATTTGCGCAAATGTCAAATTTTATGCATATCAGTTGAGGAATGACCACGTTATACCATTGGTATATTGTGCTATTTGAATAGGTGCCAAGAAAGCTTCGCTGCTATTGATTATGTTACTACAACACGCTCATATAATTAATGGTATGTTTAATACCAAGGGAGGTTTAATCTCGTGTAGGTATGTAATGGATGTCTATAAGTACCATTTTTGCTTGTGAAATGTAATATTTCTGAGAAGGTTTTGGTATTATAACAACAAATTACCATTCAACAAAACAGTTTTAAACTTATCATTATTGTTTCAGTGCCACAATAAGTGTAGCGTCCGCATCACAAAACGACTCAGGCACGTACACGTGCTATTTACAAAATCATTCTCAAGTTACAATCAACGTCCATGTTTTAATTGGTAAGTCCACCTTCCTTCACTTATCTACCGATTGTTTTGTTTATCTTTCCTAAAGCGTTTCCATAAAGATTTTTTCATTAAGGGTTTGTGTATAGTCCGTTGTGGGCACAAATATTTAATTTTGTATTCATCGTCGACCCACGTTCGTCCTGCTGTTGATTTATCTTCCGGTGTGGGTTTTCTTTCAACTTCAGCTAGAATGTTAAATTTATATAAGTTCAGTATGCTGAAGTACGTTTAGGGTAATAATAATAACACAATAATGCTCCTAATCCATTACACTACATCACTCTAAGTTCAGTTAATATTATTTCTCATTACTTTCTAACAAATGTCTTTCGTCGCCCAGCCTTATTTCATTGCAACCAGTATTTAAGCTTGTTAAGTATGAAGGGAAATAAGTATGAAGGGATGGTAATTAATGGGGGTAGCAACCACAACAGATCCGTTTAAAGTCGCGGTGGTTCATGGGCCTGGGCCCTAATTTCTCTAACAAATAATGATAATAAATAAAGGGAAAAAAGGAATCCAGAAATAATTTGCTTTTTAATTGGTTTTAAGTTTTTTAATATCGCTTATAATGAAGCTATAACGTTCACGTCTGACTAATTTCGGCAGATTTTTAAGAAGTGAGTAATGGATCACCACTCCAAATTAACGTTATTATTCTTTGTTTGTGTTTTTGTTTTCTGTAAGCTAACAAAACAAGCTTTAATTACTTACCGGTTAAGGAACCGCTATACATTACATATGGAGAAACTTCTTAAAAATTTCTAGAGAACTACGCAACTCTAGAAGAAATTACGTACCATGAAACTATAAATCCGGCAAGTTTAATTTGATATTGCAAGAAAAGTGAAAAACTTGCAGAAATACAACATTTAAAAAAATTGTATTACTTTATACCAGTCGCCTCAAGTAGCGTTTTTGAAAATAAATTTAATATACAGAATTGGCTTAGCTAAAGTTAGTAAGTTAGTTATTTCGTATTGTAATAAAACTATTTTATGCAATGTACTACTCTAAGATACTACACTCGTCTTGAATTTCTATTAAAATCCGCTAGATGGCTCAATGACCCTTTTTATACAAATTCTGAATGGTGACTACCTCGATTGAATTTTGATTGCGTGAGACACAGTCGAAGCTGGCTGGCTGAAGTTAGTTTGTGATTGATTGAGACTCAATAGATTGTCTCCCAGGCTAAGAACTCACGGAGCAGTTTTCATACGCGCCCGCCGTGGTTGCGGAGCCCGTAGTGCGTCACGACACGACGCGTTTTAGCCTCATGGCGGCATTCTTTTTATTTATTTTTTTTAATAGACAATTTCAGATACGTTACTCTGATCTTATAGTAAGTAACTAAAACAATTGTGTTTTGTAAATCGGAAACAACGCTAGTACCACAAACACCTAGACCCGAGAAAATATAGATAGAAAAGTTAGTTTGTGTTACATTGACCCGGTCGGGGATCGGACCCGGGACCTCTGAGATAGCGACACCATGAGAACCGGCATGCAAGCTTCAACGAAATACTAGAAGAACCTTGCGGGATGAAGTCAAGCACATGAGCTTGACGGCCGTGATTCGCGCGTTTCTGATGTCTGTCCATGCCGATGTTTGGGACTTAAGTTACAATCTGGATCGATTGTAAAGAACCCTGCGACTTGCGACCATCTCACGCTAAGTTTGCGGCCTGTTTTGCAACCGCGGCAGCTATGTGACCACACATACCTGCGGTGTCGTGAGTATTGAAATAAAACAGCTATCAGTCACGGCGAGTGCGAGTGAAAAAAGCTCCATGAGCTCTTAGGTTTAAAAACGCGCGGAGTTGCCTTGCAGGCCAGGGGAGTACATGATAATAATGACACATCGTAATGATCGAACTAAGCTTCGGAAGATCTTTTGATATTTTATAAACGACCTAACACAATCTCCATTTAAGGTGACAAATAATAAAATTACCTTTTATTATTTTCTGCAGACAATGTGCAAGGCATCCAAAATTATAAATTTTTCAAATTATTTCTTTTTAAAACGCGAATTACTGACATAGCGTTTTTTATCTGTTCTCCTAGAACAGATAAAATAAGTTAAAAAATATTTATTACTCGTTGGCAAGCTTATTCTTGATTTTCCTTATTAAATCTTTTATACCTTTTTACTAAAAATAGTTCATATACAAAGAGAATTTTTCGAAGTTTCCCAACATTAACTTCTTTAACATGTTTTGCTTTGAAATAGTAATTATTAAATCCACTAAGGTGGAAAACTGATACGTTTCTCGCCGCAGCGGAAAGAGCAATAACGGTGAGAACCCTCTAAGGATTTACGCTCTAACACTCACGGCGTGTGTATATATTTTCTGCGACGTATATATTTCTCGACTTCCAGATACCGTTTCTCATTTAATGTATCAAATGTTATATAATGCAATTTTCTCCTTCTACAATTTTCTATTTCATTTTACGATGATAATTGTACAGCTTCCAATCAATTGACTCAGTCATGAATCATGTAGTCGAAATAATCAAATTATGATGATAATGATGCGTTAGGACATATCCATTGAGGAATATACACATTACCAATTTGAATTTAGAAACTAAACATAACAATCTAACGATTGTTTGAAAGTTTAATATTTAACAATATCGACTGTGAACTGGCAATCGGTACTGTCTCAATTTTGACAACTTTACAGTATGAAGAAAAAATTGCTTGCGTCATTTATATAGCATCTTGTTTATTAAATAAAAATACGTAGTTTTAAGATTTTTTTATTACACATGCGTATTTTTATTTAATAAACCAGACGCTATATAAATGATTTTTTCTTCATCCCGTTAAGTTGTCAAAATTGAGATATTATCGGTTGCCAGTTCACAGTCGATATATTTAAACACATTACAAACAACATAGTCGTAGTCTCAATAAGCTCTAATGAGTATAATTTATACCATAGATCATCTATCAAATATTTGTAAAGGCAATGATAGGCGTTTTGTTTAATTTCATTAGGCAAATGCGTATTATCTTTATAGAACATACACTAAGTTTAATAAACAAATTAAGTTTGATTTAGCGCAATGCGTTGTTTGTTTCAAATTCATGCTGCGTTTGTCAACAATTATTAAATCCGAATTGGCTTGAGTCGGTTAAAAAAAATGTCGGTTAGAAAAGTAGCCTGCTTGTCGGTTTTCTATCGGATACATTTCCGGGAGTGTGTGCAGGAACTTTTCAATTTAGTTCCACCCCCACCGTTCCTCCTTCGGTCGACTAGAAGGTCCGGAGCACTCCATTCTTCTGTCGTTGATATTCCACCTATTCGCACTAAGCGCTTTGCTTCCTCCTTTCTGGTGCGTACGGCAAAGGAATGGAATGCTCTACATTCGGCATCTGTATTTCCCGATTTTGGGGCTATTTAAAGCTAGAGTAGAGTAGATTTTTTTAGGCAAACGCGTTCCATCGTCGGTCACATCGTTGTTTAACGTCAGGTGAGATTGTGACCAAGCGTGTGTCTATCTATTATATATTTAAAAAAAACGACATGGTGGCTGCCGTGAACCGATAAATTGTCGTCACGATCTAGTGGGAACAGCTAAACACGACAGTCCAACGATAAGTAAAACATAGGAAATGGAACTATTTTTCCCATTGACTTACAAATAAATGGACGACGGGTCTAATACAAAAACCACGAAAAAAATGTCCCAAGTCAACCTATTTAAACGTAGTGACATGTAAAGGAATATAAAAAGGCTAAAACGTTGAATTTAAATTGTAATGTCATCGCAGTATTGTCTAATTTTGCTTGCTTCGCTGTCAGTCGAACAAACGAAGACTAAAGCGTGAATGACGCTCTGTATACGATTTTAACGCCCTATAGGTTCGGACACTTTTTAGCGTGGACCCGACGTCCATATAATTGTAAGTCAATGATTTTTCCGGATTTAAATCGCGTATATATGTTTTTTCAAATAAACCGACGTTTCGTTTTGAAAAAACAAATATACGCGATTTAAATCCGGAAAAATAGTTTCATTTCCTATGCGTAACATTCACGAAAACCTAAGAACTTGGTAGATAAGTAAAACATTACGACAAAATGGGAACGCGCCCGTAGAGTTAATTATAAGTAGTAAGTCGTACACATTACAAATCGAGCTTTAGAAAAAGACGATCGGCTGATTTAGGATTTGTAGAACGTCATCTCTGTCACTTGAGGCCTCTATATACACAATATACAAACGATTCCTCGGTTCGATCGATTGTCACGATAATCGTATCGGCCCGTCGCCACTTCCACGGCGTTCAAGTTAATCAAATCGTTAACGACCTAAACATACCTACGCTATCGATTTGTCATTTCGGGCAGTCTGAAACGAAGGATCGTGATATTTGTATGACATTTTGTCGCCAATACTTTCCTTACGATAAGACTACAAAAACGAAGATACCCGATTATGGTAGTTTTTGAATATCAATAGTTTTTTTCTAAAAGTCGATTTGAATTTATGGCCTAGTATTGTAAGTGATGAAATTAAACTGCAAAAAGTTTATTATCAACTACTCGAGAGTTTAGTAACACCTTTCCATAACTTTGGTTAAAACAATGTATCGTAACTCTTAAATGTTTGCGGCAATTTGAAACACGTTATTTAATACATCCTTTTATTTCTACCAGGTGAGAACCAAGCAGCTGTTCACCACGACACAGGGAACAAGGGGTGTCTTTTCTGGCAACCACACTTAGTTGTAATATCTGTCATAGCGTTACTGTTGTTTTTCACTTGAAGTGCTCAGTTTAGAATAATATTTATAACCTTTAGAAAATAAAAATGGATATGTTACATTATAGTTCAACATTTTTACGTTGTTCAAGAAAAATGTTGATATTTTTATGTTTTGTTCTAAAGAACAATACAATTCTCATTTTCGTTGAATAAACAACCAGTGACTTTCACCTAAAAAATGTAATGCAAATTTCAGGTAAAAATCTTTACATCCCCGTTCAGATTGGAAGCTTTGTTTTCGTTCGATTGAGGCTTGTCAATGACAAGCTTGATGCCGTATTTATTTGCATATTCAATGGAACAAAAACAGTGTCAAAGGAAACCAAGCGGTTTCAACAGACTTTTTCCTAACGAAATTGTATAGTTTAAATAACTTTTGGTACCGACAGTATTCGGTTAGAACGTTCTCATGTGAGATATTGTGTCTTTTTTACTTTTTAAATTCCACTCAGACTTTTGATTGTATTTTTTACTTAATTGATATCGTTAAGCGGTAGGCGATCTGCATCGTACAATTATCGTAGAATCATTCTTTTTGGCCATTATTTGTAAAATATTAGTTCCATTTTCATATTTCACTGCACGCTTCAAAATAATAAAAAACCGTGGTCAACCGTGACCATGGGACCTGTAAAGGGCCCGAAACGTCGGTTTGTTTGAAAAAACAAATATACGCGATTTAAATCCGGAAAAATAGTTTCATTCCTAAATAATAAAAAAATTAATATAAGTTACATAACAGAGAAAACCGGGCTTCATTTTAACATCCTCAATCAGGGCATTATTGCAATTATTAATGCAAATACCTAACACTTGTAAAAAAATCATTCGATCTGGCTGGATTCGAACCAATGTCTTCTAGGATTTCTCACAGATGGCGCTACGGAAAAAAAGATCTGCAACAAACACATTGAAAAATTTGTAAGGTCCGCTTATTCGTTCCGTGGTTTAGTTGGTATAGCGGCTGGTTTGCTAGAAGACGGTGGTTCGAATCCAGCCGGATCGAAGGAACTTTTTCTAAGTGTTTCTTTGTCTTTGTATTAATAATTATAAGAAACTAGTGGAGTAATTTCACAAAAAGTAATTAATTGAATATCATGGTGGTGAAACATCCTGACATTAAATAAAACTTAAGGGCATTGTTACTGTGAATACGCCTTCAAATTGGACTCTTATTGTAGCGCTACAGCGGTGTGTCTGCGGCTCGTCTGTGGCTCGTCTGTGGCGTTGCAGCCGCACCACTACAAATTTTCATACAATATCTAGTCCAGAAAAGTGGTGCGCGCGTGACGCGACAGTGACACTCAGCTGCGCTTCTTACATGCATTTTCCACTAAGCGGCTAATCGCGGGCACTTGTCCGCACGTGTTTTCTCCGCTCACGCGATGCGCTCCTCCGACCGCAAAATGGCGGCTATTTGGTTTCGCAAATTAGAAAAGGATTCAGTTTAAATACAAGTTTTTATAAATAAAAATTATTATTCTGCATTACTAAATAAATACCCTCCGTACTACCAACAAAAACATCTCAAATAAAACGCAATAATACACCGCAAATCCTGCACTTAAAAAGCACTAATACAATTTTTGATGTACTTGGATAAATATGATATTATTCCGTTTGAATGGTTCTAACGTTTACCATGAAATTACTCCTTAAAGTATAGTTTATAAACATTTGCATTCAGGGTAAACTTAAAAAACGCTACTTACTGTATGTTTTCAATAAACAAACACCGAAATCACCAGCCCAAACAATAACACACACGATTGTCGTGACGTATTTTTGAAGTTGTTTATTTTTTTTTAAATGATAGATCCAGGCATTAAAAACTTTATGGTTTGCTAGAGTAGTTACCGAAATATCTATTAATATTAGTTATTTTACCTGTTATAACTTCGATATCCGATAAATCGGTATAAAAAAATCACCGGCACCTCTAGGTGTGGTATGCGTCTACGGCTGCATGTATCGCGTGTGCGGTTATGTATTAAAATAAATCACTATACCATACCCCTTGAAGCCACCGTAACTTTGAAGAAAAACAGAACCGCGCGCGGCCAGCCGACTGTGTCTAGTCGCTTAGTGGAAATTTGCATGAAAAAATGTTGTATGAAAATTAGTAGTGGCGCGACTGCAGCACCACACGTGCCACTGCAGCGCTTCTACAAGCGTCTAGTTCGGAGGCGCCTTAAGCATTCTTTATAATTGCTGTAAATACAACATAATCACTTACTATTTATATCTTGTTTGTATACGTAATATTGAAATATGCGTTTAAAATATCATTTTGTTTTTAATTTAAAATGAAAATTTTTGATTTTTTTTTACAATGTCGGTTTTGATTGTGTTATTTAATATAATATAATAGCTTATTTATTTTTGTGAACAATCATCTCATTTTTGCTTTTACAGTATAAATAAAGCATGCAAGAATTGTATGATTTTTTTCATAAATACTCTGTTGAAGTATGTATGCCAAACTAAATCAAAATCAATTTTTTTAGTCATAAGTATAACATTTAACTGTAGCTAAGCGTTAACTATAGTAATAACTAAAATTATAACTCGGTAGCATGTACAGAGTTCTATAATAATCAAAAACATTATTTTCATCATAATGAAATAAGATAAAACTTTCATATAGGTGATAAATATCTTTATAATAATCCTTAATACTTGTATACTTATGTATTTTTACGAAATGTACAGAATGTATTATCGTTTTAACTTTCTCTAACTGTAACATAATATCCTTTTAGAAAAAGGCTAAGCCGATATTTAAGATTGATATTATAATGATACTTTATATATGTTAATGCACGTTTTTGTTACATTACACATTTCTTATCTGTAAACAGAAGTTATGTTGTATGAATGTTAATGACTGTAACTATAAAAAATAAACTTAATTATAACGATATGAGTAATCTTTTTTTTTATACAAATCAATGTCGGTCGAAAAGAAACTGAAATGCCTAATTAATCCTGATTAATATTGTAAATGCGAAGGTAACTCTATCTGTTATGTTTGTGACCTAGCCTTAGACTAAAAGGGACACATAAATTTATTAGAAGAGGAAAAAAGCTATAACAAAATAATACAATGGTATACAAAAAGTAAAAACAATTTATAACACTATTCTAGCACTAAACATTTGAAAGGCCAGGTATTTATCCCAAGAGGGCCTATATGCGTATATATATACATATAATGTTTTAAAAACAGTGAAAGTGGAGTTGGAGTTTTATATGAGGATAAATAAGCACGTCCTCTAGCTTCGAGAATTTTGATGAGACTGATGACGCAACGAACCAACTTAAGAATAATGAAGGAAAATTCGAGAACGATTCAAAATTTTAAAAATAAGTGGCTAGGAACCAGTAAAGTGGGTGATAAAAAGGTGGGATGACGATAAGGGAGGTCGCATCGTCACACGTTTTCACGCCTAAACCGCTGAACTAAATTTGGTAAATTTTGGTATAGAGATAGATGGGATCTAAGAGAAGGACGGGCTACTTTTTGTCACAAAAATAAATCTTAAGTGGGGTGAAAAAATGGAAACAAATTTAATATTAAAGGGATACAAATTTTCCTGAAGAAGTACCTACACGACGTATTTATTCTACGCAGACAAAATCACGGACATCAACGAGTGAGAAATATATAGGAAATGAAACTATTTTTCCGGATTTAAATCGCGTATATTTGTTTTTTTGACATAGTGAACCGTGACCATGGGACCTGTAAAGGGCCCGAAACGTCGGTTTGTTTGAAAAAAACAAATATACGTGATTTAAATCCGGAAAAATAGTTTCATTTCCTATGTGTAACAATCGCGAAAACCTAAGAACTCGATAGTAAGAAATATGTCGACTTTTTAGTTTTTCACAATTGCTATACATTTGAAATGAAACTATTTTTTACCGACTTCAAAAAAAGGAGTACGTTCTCAATTCGACTGTTTTTTTGTTTATAGCATTGGGCAGAGAGTAAATAGAGAATGTAGATTTTGCCGCAAGGCGGATGGAACTCCTGTTCATCTACTCACATAATACTACCCCCTGATAGGCGTACGAAGTTCCATACTGGGAAGGCACATGCCACAACCAGAGGACATTAAATCTGTCGGAGTGAAAAAAGTCTTTCAATTCTGCAATGCTGTCGGCCTTGGTTCTCTCTGCACTGTAATTAGTGATGATCACAATAGGTCAGTCAATGGTCGCAGTGATGAAGGAAGCATAGGTCCTGAATGAAGCCAGTTCTTGAACCTGAGTCCCTGACCCCGGCCGACTGTGCTATTGCTGAGAAATATCGCCTCTTTCATTAAAAAAATCAAAATTAATCTTTTAAGCCTTGGGAGATGCGAGAGTCTAAAACAAATATAATAATGTTACGCGATGACTTTGTAAACCGATTTCAATTATTATTTTTTGTTGCAAAAGGGGATACTTGAATAGTAGTCCCATTCAAATGTGAAGAATATATTCCAACTCTAAGGGTAGCAAATTAGGGGACGAATCCGGTTTATTGGATTTCACCTACTTTCCCCGTTAACCGATTTCAATAAAACTTGGCAAATAGATATAATTCCAACAGAAATAAAATGGTGACCTATCTGATGATGAAAATGGCAGATGATGAAAGGAGTTCCTCAACAGGGTACACCAGCTGCCTTGGGTTTGAACTCAAAATGATTAGTTTTTTGGATTTAAAATTACGTATATTCATTTTGGTTAGTGCTGACTGAACATGGGACCTGTGAAGAATCTAAAACGTTGGTTTGATTAAAAAAAAAACAAATATACGGTATTTTAGATATGACAAAAGTATTTTGATTTCTATTAAAGAACGGCTTTAAAAATAATAAATGTTTCATATCGGTAGCTCCAATTACACTACACCAACTTAATTTTTGGACCTGTTTTGTTTTTGTTTTGTTTTTGTGTCTTTATTTTTTCCTAAAATTCGTTTTTTTGTTTTTTTTTCGAATTTTGTTTTTGGTTTCTTAATTTTCTTTTCACGAAATTCGGGAAGCACAGTATTAGTAAATAAGTATGGCTGCTTATAAAAAATTACCAATAAATAAAGTTGGTAATGTATATATTAGAAACAAACCTTAGTACTTGAATGGACAAGAAAAGATAAATTATAATAGCGAAAGCTTGAAATTCTATTAAAACTTTTCAAGCAATTCATAATAATAATCCGCATTAACAAAATTGGAAAACTACAAAACACCCTCACCGTGAAAGAGGAGCAAAATTTAATAATACCGAATATGAACTTAAGTGATCCCTCTGACGCTTCAGCTTGCGAGACCGCTCATGAAATGATATAAAGGATTCAACCTAAGACCTACGATAGCATCATCTTTCAGGAGGAAAATGGAAAAGGAGATCGTCGATGTAGAAAATCAATTATACAGCTGACTTCGAAAGGTAATAAAAAAAAGCCGCAACCCCGATGTTTCTATTAACAAAGCACGAAGCGTAACCCTTGGGAAGCATTTTTGGCATGTACGAAAATTGTCCCACGAACATCGTTGGATTAAGTTACGACGTGTTGTATATAGAGGAAATAT